CCAAATGCGAAAAAGGTCAAATCAGGAAACACGGAAAAATATCAAAACAAAATATTTAACAAATCAAATAAGCAGATTAAAATGTATTCAAAATATACTCGATGCAACCTCATGTTCCAGTCAGAGTTCGCTAAAGACGATGCTATCAATGATTTACTTTTAGAGTGGAAAGTTAAATTTGAAAAAAAAAAGTTATTTAAAGGAAACAAGTATCTCAAACAAACAAACCTCTTCTCATCTTTTAAAGCTAACAATCTTTATGATATAAAATAAATTGCGAACTTGAAGAAAAAACGTAATTGTTTGTTTATTTAAAATAGTTTTATCACTCATAATTGGTAAATTTGTTTTCACAAATAATTATATCAGTTGGGTTCATTTTTATCAACGCTAAATTGTATTCATAGACCCGTCTTTCCATGACGCCAACAGAAGAGACATTTCCGCGCCAAGAAAGTGACACGGACTAAAATTAAAATCGTTTGCGAAAAATCATGTACCTTTTGAAGTCAATGGAGGTAACCTCTAAGAACGACCATTTAACTGTGGAACGGAGAGTGGTCGCTTTCGAGAGGTTTCACTGCATTATGTTTTTACAATTTCTTGAATTGATGAAATAAATAAAGAACTAATCAGACTGAAATTATGAATTTTTCGTATAAGCAGTACAAAATAAATTAAGGCGTTAAGGCAGGAGTATCAAATAAAATCAAGACAAAATAAGTGGGGGAAGCTATCTAAAAAGAAATGCATAAGCAGTTCCTTTATTGGCTAGTGGAATAGAACCCTCATTTTTCAATCATTTCAAAAATATATGTTAGAATGGAACTATCATGAACAAATTTGAAAGTTTTTAGCAAAAGCAGGAAAAAAAATATTTATTTGAATTTTTGGAAATCTATTTCATTTCTATTTTTTAATTCCATTAAATTTCGTAGAAGATTCTGGACACTGTATTGAGAAACTTACTTGGCTTGTGCTTCAGCTTGCATGAAAATGAACTCCCATTTTCTCGAAAACATTTTCTGCAATCTGGCTAGATTTTCCGCTTCATAGTCAACCAGTTCTAAACGCGTCTTGTTTTGCATTGTTCTTTTACACAAGTAGACAGCTGTTTCAAAGATAAAAACAATCGTTTGAATTTACGATTCATAAAGCTATGGATATGGAGCATTAGTGATATACTGAATTCTTCAAGGAGGAAAAAATGGTCTACAATGAAAGACAAAGCTTACATACAAAAAGAAAAAAAAGGCAAGAAGTAGGAACATGGAGAGACCGCAAAGGCTAATCCGGATCGGTTTGCTCAGGATTTGCCTTTGCGTATATCACTAATCACTAATGACTAATCACCTTCAGTATATCACTAATGTTCACAAGCTATATATTTGGAAAGCTTTAGTTTTTAACTGTCTGCCACCCTTAAAAATATTTTTCAAGAATCGTAGTATTGGCAGCCATGCTTCAGGAAAACATCCAGAAAAATTTCGATTTATGATAATGAAATTAAAAATAGAAAGGTATTTAAATTACGGGAATTATATTTGAAGTAGGGGATTTATGCATATTACGGGAGCTATAAAAGAACCATGAAACGGATGTTTAATTTAATGATATACCTTACAAAGGTTAGGTTTAACTCTAACAGTAAAAATTGAATTATTTTTCGGAACTTTTTGAATTTATTACTTATTAATATTCATTTATGATTTATTCATTACGTTTGTATAATTAATGCCATTTTCTTACATAAAAATAACAAATTAAACAGCTATTTAAACTTTAAAAAAATTGATTTTACGACTTAATGAACAATGAATTTAGAAACGTAGAATAATCACAACTAGGCAATTCCGTTAGAAAAATATCAAGAACAATTATCAAATAATTTATGCTTCATGCACTTCTATGTGAATTGAATCTTAAATGAAATTTTCTTATAATTAAAAAAAAATTATAACCATTTTTTTTCCTACTAGGTGGTTAAAAGGTGTATAAAAGTAACTGTTATACTTACCGTAATCTGTATTTTCCGGTTCCCAGCAATTCGACGGCCAGAAATAGGGTGTCTAAGTCTTTCCATGACGCCANTTTGGATCATTTGTTTTCTTTAGAAGCTGATTCAAAGAACCTTACACTACTGAAATAATCTCAGAATATACATAAAATGTTTTGCCTCGGAACTTCTCGGACGTCGGAAACACATCGGAACTCGTCGGAAATAGCCGGAAATTGCATGGTCTGGACTGAGAGGGGAATGTGGCGTGATTGTACAGATTGCTGTACTGAATATGCAAGAGAGCATTATCGTGATATTATAACAAATTTTCTACCAGTTATGCTTTGTGTTTTCATAAAACATTCAAAACTGGAACATAATATTCCCGATTCTCAGTAGTTTTTGAAGACACGGCATGCTGACAGATTACAGCTTTATGATCAATGAAAACAATCATCATGATTATTTTTTTTGATCATAAAGGTGTCATGATCATTAACAGATTTCTTTGTTTTTTTTCGAAAGCGGAGACTTGTTGCGGACTTTGTAAGAGGAACAAAATTATAATCACCAGTTTTATCTCTTATCACCATGAAAAAATACTTAAATTCGCAATAATTTTTGAACAAATTGAAACTTCTCAAAAAAAATTCATTAAATTAGTTATTCATTGATTATTATCATATTATTAATTCATTAATTAGAGAAATTAGTTGAGTACCTAAAAACATTAAAATGTGGAAGAATAGATTTCGGTTGACTTTTTAAGTTTTCCTGGTGATAAACTATTCAAATTATTGGTGTTTCCAAGATAATCAATCACTATTAACAGAAAAAATGCACACTTTTTACATGGGAATATATTTATAATAAAAAATGCAGAATGCAATGCTTCTGATCTTAATTTTTTTAAACACAATTTATGAAAAGTAAGATTCTTAAGTGCTCGGGCTTTTTTACCTCCTACATCAGAAAGCCTCCACACGGTTTTTTATAAGTAGTCTGCGCAGACTATTTAAAAAGTGAACCGGTGGTGCGCATGAACCCAAATTCTATTTTTACAGTAATTGAGAGAAATTTATCATGTATATTTGAGAATTGAATCTGTAGTGGTTGACAAGTAAATAAGACAAACCAATCATATTCAAAAATTAAACAAATTTTTAGACATATATTTGCTACCACTATCTTATTTTTACTAGATTTTCTTTTAAATGCTTCTTTCGTATACTTGTTTACCTTCATAGTGGTCTGATCGGACTACCTATAAGAAACCGCGTGGAGGCTTTCAGTTGTAGGAGGCTTTGGCTGCAATCTATATTCAGTTTCAGAACTATTTCAAACATAAACAAGGAGATATTTACCTGAAACCTATAGAAGGTGCCGTCTGCTTTCACTGTGAGGAGATGATCGTCGATTGGAAAGAAATAACCATGAGCCGACATCTGATGAGCCAAGTGCAGAGCCTCCACTACAGTGAAACACTGGAATTGATTCTCAATTTTTGTAACATTAAAAACAAAACTGTGTCTTGATCTCAGAGCTAAAATCGCCCTTTTATTGTCTGAAAATCTAGTGATTTTGTAAATTCTGCTCTAATTACATAAAGCGCGACCTAAATTATAGAACTGCGTTGGTGAACTTTTCATTCTGGACGCATCTCGAAGTCCGACGTGTTTAAGAAAAAAGGATGAATTTTATTAATTCCGTTTTCAAACTTCTCTCATCAAATTGTTTCTTTTTCTATGTATAAAAACTAATCGATCAAAATAGATTCGTAATGTGATGTCATCACCCATTAGTCACACCATGCAGCACCCATGTGCATTAATCACTCAAAACTTCTTTTGAGAAAAACATATTAAAAGTCAACGGTTCTTTTTACATGGTTGTCACTGATCCTAAAGATTCATAATAGTGTTATTATATCGACGTTGTAAGAATTTAGGGTTTCCAAGTGATCGTTTAGTGTTTTGAAAACGAAGCGTGTGTTTAGTGTTTGTCATAAAAAGTAACAGTTTGTCTAAAGTAAGAACTCCCCTAGCTATTCATCTGGACCCGTGGTGGTGACTATAGCAACAAGGTACAACTATTTCAAGTAGGGGTGTGGGTTTACTGCTTAGGCGGAAGAAAGGGAATCTTTTTGTTCAGTCTATCGTGTTAGCCCTAGAGTGAAGTGAATCTACCCTCCCTGAAATGCGCTATTCTTGTTTCCATAACAGCAGACGGCCCTAGACTCTGTTGCGGGGGGAGTTCTTACCGTAGACAACCTATACATCTTTAATATACCCATCTACCTTAACCCCGAAGTCCGGGACTTTGCCCCATAATAATTATGCTCAGTTTTTCAATAATTAAAGATAAGTAAGTTCGAAATTCTTAGTTTTGTTTTTAAATTTGGGTTGAGCATTAAAAAGCGACATTTTTTGATGTATATACTGTCTTAAACACGTATTTTTTGATGAGTAGATTTTTCTTAAACGCGCATTTTGAGCTGTATCTATGTTCTTAAACACGCATTTTGAGCTTTATCCATGCTCTTAAATATACATATAAAACTGTATCCATGTTCTTAAAAACGCATTTTGAGCTGGATCTATGTTCTTACACACGCATTTCGAGCTGCATCTTCAATAAAAAGCTCACAGATCTTTTTTTTCAGACATAGATAAATCACGATATTGAGTTAGCAGCCATATTTAATGGAAAGAAAAAAAAGAATTGAGATGCAAAAAGTAAAGAAAAAAATAAAGCTTTTTCATTGAGTGATCACAATTTTCTTTATTCAAAATTCCTATGGAAGTATTTCATAAAAATACTTAATTTCATATTAATATTATTTATTTATTTAATTATTGATTTGATTTCCATACTTTATTGCAATATATAAATTCAATTGCAAATATTAATCTATTTATTTCTTTTTTCTAACATTTTTATGATTCATAACTGGGCTTTTAGGTTATTGACTGCTCAAATTCCTAATAATTTTTTTAAAAGAAATTAAATAGCTTGAATAGCAGAAAGAAGCACAATTTCGGTGGAAATCAGGTTCTTACTTATGAATAGAATCATACAAAATTTACATTTAATTTATTATTAAATCAATAAATGCTAATTATTGAACTTTGAAAAAAATTTCGAAAGTGGTCAGATAAATCGGTATCAATCTAAAGAAAATATCAAAAATTAAAAATAATAATTTCATTTTTTGAAGCAGAATTTCTTAAACTATTTGATACGAGGACCTCACCATATTAACGAAACTTTTGTGGGACGCCAAAAAGCATAGCGCTAATCCGAAACACGTAAATGAAACATTTATTATAATATAATATAACATCAGTTATAGGTCATAAACTTTACAAAGAGAAAATAGTAAGAAACTCAAAAATAAAATTACTTAAGCCACTTGAAAGGTCGCTACAACCCTCAAGCACGCGAAGTATCAATGGGAAAGGTGTTATTTTTAATTATGTTATCAAATCTTGGCAAAATACCACAGGGCGAAGTTGAATATTCTTTGGATTTGATCGACACTTTTGATTCTATGGTGGTTAAGGACGTCGCTTCACACAAATATGTCGTAGAAAAATGTAAAAAAGAAGTTTATGTCAGTCTAGGAAACCTTAAGAAATTTTTTTGCGACTCATCGCCAAACTTTTTCTGAGGACTTCGCATTAAAATCAATTTTCGCGTTCTTGCAATTTTAAGGANTTTTCTGAGGACTTCGCATTAAAATCAATTTTCGCGTTCTTGCAATTTTAATTTCAAAGGAGTAATTTTTTCCACATTAATACCGAAAGGTTTCACAATCCATTTTTTAAAATTTATTTTATAACCGTCGTTGAACAGCCGATTTCAGAATTTACAATGACTAATGTTCAACTCCGTAGCCTTGTAACTTTGAACCCAATCCAGAAGACAAAAGAACTCCTAGATCAAGTATTGAAAGAATTTTGCCTCCGTGGAGGACTTTTAGATGGAACTAACCTGCATTAGCGTTACATAGAGAGGGAGGCCACGAGAACCTACCACAGGCAAAGGAACTCTAACCCATGATCCGTCTGCCACTGAGAAAATTTCCCGTCAGCACTGTGGTCGGTGCAAGCCGGATGCGGATTCGTATCGACCAGACATCGCTGGGATTAGAACCGGGTCTCCTCATTGGAAGGCGAATGCTCTATCCCTTGAGTCATCGTGGTTCTTACAATCCATTAGTTCTTTGGTACTACGATACGAAGGGAAATGTTTCACAAAATTTTTATTTTACGACTCAAAGCCAAAAATCTTCTAAGGACCTCGCATTAAAATCAATTTTCAACTCTGCAAGTTCTTGTAATTTTAATGGCAAAGGAATAATTTTTTCCACATTAATTCCGAAAGGTTTCTCAATCCTTGTTAGTTCTTCGGCACTAAATTTTGAAAGGAAATGTTTCACAAAATTTTTCTCTAAACAACGAAGGTGTTCAATTATCACATCTATTTTCAAATACAATCCCTGTCCAAATTACTACAAGATTCTATGTAAAATCTTAATTATAATTTGATACTATACAGCTTTCTTGTTCATACACGACTGAAACCGGTTTGCACTTGTTTACGTTCGTGTATCAATTGGTTAAACTAGGCGATATATAATATGAATTTAACGATTGGATAAATTAGACGATATATTACATAAATATAGAATATTTATTATATCAGGTAATATACTATTATATTTTAATAATTAGATCAAATTATTAGACATTTTTTTATTAATTACGTGTTTTGCACTAGTTTATATGCAATACTTTTATATTTAAACACCACATGTAATGGGTTTTTATTCAGGAAATTTTTTATATACTTCCTTTTCGTATTTCTTTTTAACGTATTGCATTACAATGTTACCAACTGATACACGAACGTAAACAAGTGCAAACCGGTTTCAGTCACATAAAAATAATAAAGCTGTATAGTATCACCTGATAATTAAGATTTTACATAGAATCTTTTGGTGCGTCTAATAGTTTGGCAAGGGACTGTACATGGTGTAAAAATACTTGATGATTACAAAATTATCATAACTTAAAGAAATGTCCAAAATTGCTAAAATTTGCGATAACTAGACAGCGGATTATATGCACTAAAAAACGGACAAAATATGCATGCAAATATGCACTAAAAAACTTGAATATATGCTCTTAAAACTAGAAATATGCATTTAAAATAGAAATTAAAAGGCCATCTCCAATATCTCGTCGAATATCATCCAGTACTTTGTTATATATCGGTTGAAGGTAGTTCTTTCTTAAAGTCGATTCATCGGGAATGATCTGATTGGTACAATATTTTTTAAAAAACTGTCTTAAGTTTGGATTATTTAACTTTTTTAAAGGATAATTGCTTAAAGGAAAATTTAAAGCGTTCCTTATGCTAACATAAAAAGAATGGTGACATGGTTTTAGGAGGAAAAAGCCATAAAATTCTGAAAATATGCATTTATAAGAGCAAATATACCTTTTTATGCATTTATATGCACAAATGGCAAAAAGTGCTAAAATATGCAATTGCACATGCACGTATGCAATTGCATATTATCCGCTGTCTATGATAACTTATGCTGATGTCCCTAATTGGGGTCGCGAGCCACAGTTTAAGAAACTCTGATTTTTAACAAAGCTGTATCTTACCCTGATCGTCTATTTCCAGATATCTCATCATCCACGTGATCAAGTCGGAACCTAACAAGAAAAAAGAATATATTACAGTCAGTCCCGCTTATAGGAACACCATTGATTGCAGCCAACTTTGAAATGATACCCAGATAACAAAATAAGGTTTATTTTCACTTATCAAAAAGCTTTTAATGTAAACCTAAAAAGGTTTGTTATGCTGTAAACCTTCTAACCTTAAAACGAGATTTGTGACAATCTGCTCTATTCTAAGTACATTACCCTAATCCAAAACCTTGGAAAACAACCTTCTATATAAAAACATTAAATCGAGGTTGACTTAAGGTTTTCAAGCGTGAAAAAAATCTTTTAATAAAGCTAGTCTCAAGGTGAAAATAATTTTTAATCTAGGTAATTATAAGGTTTCTTTTGTATGTTCAGCTAAAATCCACCTTGACATGAAATTTTTAATGGACAATGCAATTTGATCCTATCGCGAGAGTGACGTCAGATAAAACGTCACACTAGCGAAACGTCACTAACAAGGGAAACTAGGGAAGTGTGACTCGCCAATTTTGAAATAAACTAGTGGGATGTATGCAGGTGACGAACCTCCTAATGTT